GCTTCCACTGTTATTATGATATAAATCCAAATGGTCATTTGACACCAAGCTTTTCTTTTCGCGTCGCCTCTTCTATGTTGTTTACTGTCTAGAACCCTTCACGAACAAGAATGAGTTTAGAACAATATCAATTTTAAGTGAAGCTGAAACAAAATGTGCAGAGTTAAAAGCATAAGAGTTTATGTAAAATTAACGATGCTTCAAGTATTTGGTTTTTCTAACCTAGGGTGACTAGTTAACAATGCATCAGCATATTTAGACTTGGGTCTCATTGAGCGTGCAGGCTAAAACGTTATGAGTCAGTCTTCCAGATACCACTAGTGAGATAGTAGTCAATTTTCTCTAATCTGTGAGGCCATTCAAGTTAGTAAGCATTTTTTACTCACAAAAGAATTGTATTGACAAAAGATAAACATTATAATATTTTGGCTAATACTTCTATATAATTATATATGAGACCCGAAACTCGAATATAACTTACGGAAGGTAGACTTCGTTTAGTCGCAGTAGTTAGAGTCATTCAATCTCCCATAAATCAAAAGTTGATGATTTTATTCTACTACTTTAATTGAAACCTGATGAAAACTTGTAACTCAATGATTAAAAGTTTACTAGTTTTTATGAATTGTTTTAATTTCACATTCAGTAAGTAGCATAACATTTAATGACTTTATATACTACAATAAAAAGAGGTTTTCCTATATTTTTTGATGTTCTAGAATTGTTCACTTGCTATAGTTGGAAAAGACATGAAATTCACAATATTTGAAGATGATGATATTGATCCATATTTGAAGTTATTCGAAGCTACTCAAGTAGATGCACCAGCTACAGCTATCCCCGATTCTGGTCCTACTCCTATGGAACAGGATCAGTCTGCGTTGTAGCCGGTTATCTATCTATATATATGTAATTGTTTATGTGGTGATGATCTAACGATTATTCTGAGTCCTAACTTGTTTATATTTTCGTTTTGTAACGACAAGTTAATAAAGCTGAGTTATGAAATTAATGTGTTTTCTTTTTAATATTTCCCTTTTTATATAGAAAACAGTTATGCTAAACATGTTTGATTAAACATGTTTGTTTAAATTTATATGGAGGATTTTTAATATCTTAAAGTTTTAACTTAAAGATTATGTGATATTCAATTGGCTCGTGTTAAACTAGCTGAGTTAAAAGTTACTGGATAAAGATGACAAATCCAATAACAAGCTTGTAAACCTCTATCGACTGAGATGGCTGGGACTCATGTGTTCTATGTGCCCAACCACTAGCTAGCTTGATGAGTAATGATGGTTGACACAGGAGCTGGTTAAAAATAAGCTAGTGGTTGTCAAAGACAATATCAGTTTACTACATTTTAGGCTGAGCCGTTTTGGTAGACACACTCTACGTGTAGTCACCTCAGTAATTGTGATCAGTGGTTTGGAATGGCTGCAAATCAATAACAGTATCTTTCACCAGTTTCATAGTCATTTCATACTTTTATCCTACCTGTATATTCCTTTTCAAACCTTATTTTACTACTACGGAAAGTGATATAGCCAGACAAATAACGCTATGATTGACTGGCTAGGGAATGTGAAGACACACCTGTGTCATATATACAATTTATTAATTTTGTATTGTAGATGATTCAGTCCCTAGTTTGTATTTGTTCCAACACTGCCTTGGTTATTGATATCTGGTTCTTAATTAATTGGTCGAGCAACTGTCTGAATTCACGTAATTTGTTCTCTCTAAATTGCTCTTATTTCGACTTCTTTATCATTTGTTGTATTCACTTGGTTGCTATGTAGTGTAGTAATTTTAGCCGAACAAGATCTGTCTCTGGTTCTACATTAACTATGACTGGATTAGCGATGAATTTATCCAAATCTTTGCTCAAAAGTCGGCGTTCGGTGTCCTCGGTACCAATTTTCGCCCGCGGGTTATATTTTTATTGGACTGCGAATATAGTAATGTAACTTTCACTCTTAACCTAACCAGAACACACTGACATGAAATTAGCAGCTATATCTGGCAACTGACGAAAACTTTTATTACTCAAGCTACCAGCAGTAAGAGGTATTCTGCTCATGAATCAGCGTTCAGAAATACCTGTAATTGTTAGTGAAGCAATGTAAAAAATAGTCCAGTTGTTTCACCACTCAAAGCTCTTGTCAAATTTTCTGATACTTAGTGGTTAACACACTGATCGATATAGAAATACGGTGAATCATAAGAAAATCAAATTACAACACTAGAAGACATTTGGTCCATGCGATCTGCTTTCTGTTCTCAAAAGTAGAGCAGTCTTTTGATCAGAGAACTAAGCCGATTGTTTAAAGTGTTCACATTTAGACTAAGCCATCGTTCTTTACTGAAGTGTTTTCGTTCCTGGTTTCAAACGGGGTCCGCGTAATACACCTAACTATCATTAAGTACTTATAGCTAGTACTAATTTCTGACTTTGTTTTATAAAACTAGGAATCGACCTTCAAGGACTCATATTGTGAATACATTAGTGATCTTTCCTCAAACTTCCTAATTCTCAGTAAATAGACGGCTTTTAATTCGTTAAATAATACCATGCCCTGGAATCGGTTGTCCAAGAAAAAACACCCTAAGAACGTCTTTACAAATGACAGAAGTCTTCAATCAATTTAACATTGCTCCCACATAGCGGAGGTATTTGGATTGTTCACTGTTATCATTCTTTTGTAGTTCTGTCGTCTATAACTTTTTCAAAACAACTGAGAAAGCTGTACAGTGGTTTGGGCCTATTATTTAAAGAAAACTCTTCAACCTTGAAAATAAAGTTGTAATTGTTTCAGTATGCAATTCCATATAAGCTACTTATTATTTAGCGACTACTGCTTGTAAATACTGTAATTCTCACCATTAATATGTAAAATAATTTTAAAAAACTTACAGAAGCCCATACTTTCTCTTACCTTTTGTAACGAGGTGTTTGGAGTTCTCAAGGAGTTCATGCTGGTGTGCTATTGCTTATGATAGTATATATATTCTTGTCGTAAAGATGGAAAAGATTTAAATAAGTCTCATTTACCTTCGGGATCATCATAATGTGAGTTGGAAAGTAAAGGTTCGAATGCACAGAAATATCAAAAATTGTCTAAAGTCATGAATATAGACTGCTGGATATATCACCTAGTGATTTGAATGTTAAACGTTTACCTGAAGGTCTCAGGTCCGACCCCTGGTGCGGTCGTGAATATTCACTGATGTGAAATCCCTAACTAGCACTTAGCATATGTTTAGTTCTTCCTGAGTCAGTTCTTGATTTGAATTTTCAAATTCAGCAGTCCCCGAATGCCCTGGTACGGCCGAGAGTGGGGAGAGTCAGCTCTCCCAGTTGCTCTCACATGGCCACGCGTATGCGACCACTGCCAGAGAAGTCCTACTCACTGCCTTCTTGCGGCGGGGGTGTTGTTTTCGACTTTGAGAGGACGTAAAGCCAATGTCCCGCGCTTTAACCGGGTTGTTGGACACAGAGGGTCCACCTAGAGGACTTGGAAAACCCTGATTCCAAACCAGTGGTGCACATGAGCTTCAGGATCCTGATGGAAAAAGTGGTGTCTGAATCTATTCTTGGTCACCGGCCACCATGGGACTGGGTCTCCTAACGTTGCTCCACTGTCTTGTGGATTAGACCTTTGTGTCAAAGGCTCCGAGCGTGGACCCCAAGGAGACGAACTGCTTCTGTTTTGGGACCCGAGTAGTATTCCAGCCCCCACACAAATCGAATGATTTATATGGCGCATATCTATTTGATGCCTCTTTGTACCATTGTTCATGTGTTTAAATAAATGATCAAAATCATTTTAGTAATTCCTATGTATTGTAGTCAGTTATACATGTGTAAAGTGTATGATAAATGTTTTTTCTATTCTACCTTCATCGGGAGTTATATGTACACTGACATGACGAAAACGTGAGGGGAAAGTAAAAGCTTTGTACTGTAATAACCAAATCGTTTTTGTCTACATACCTGTTCTACACGGCGAGTGTAGATTTAAAACTTCTCAAAATTTGAACTCTGTGCAACTCCGTGTAGGTTCATCTACTGGGTAGTGATTATTAGTTGTAATACCGAGCTGACGATGAAGTGATCATGTGTCCTCCAGATCATCATAGTTTCACTGTCAGTTACTATGTACTGAGGCAAAGTAATATTTTCAACTTCAATATTTCACTGACTTGTCAGTTTGTAGTAAAATGTTACCTATAAGTTAAATAATACCCTATAATTCAGTTTTACAAACCTCCCTTCCAGTTCCTATACAGCTACTTTACTTACTCTAGAAACAGTTATTCATATTTATACTTGTCCAGTGTAGTTTCTTCTGCAAAATGTGTTCATTTTAAAGGTTAAGAGTTTCTGTAATCAGTCTTTATATTCAATATATTGTTATATAACCCGGGATCAATTCATAAAGACACTGACTATTTGACTGAGCCATGTAGGTAGCTACCTGGTTAGAGTCTGCGTGATTATCGTAACAAATAGTTAACGACTGTCTGAAATGACTCGAAATTTTCTCGATAGCACAGATGCATTTAATACTTTCACTCTGTTAGTGGGACATAGATTAGATGTTTCATGTATGCATGTTTCATGCATGATGGTGTTGCTGCGCGCTGATTGGCTAATTCTAAACCGATCAGCCCGGGCATATTATTGGAGAAAAATCTAGAAGCTTCTTATGTATATACTATAAATATATGAACGTTATTTAAACTAGGGATTGCTGTTCACTTATCATTATTATTTTGAATACAATTTCATTCCTGTTCAAAGTGTTCTGATTTTGGGGTCTTGTCGAGTGTCATCGTATAAGAATACCAAGCAATAGAAATAGCTGGGTCGTTTATATAGCAAAAATACAATTATAACACACTCCTTCAAATCCTAAGTTTTTGAATAACTTTGTGGTTTTTTCAAATACCACAAACCCATATTTTATCCTGGATACCCAGTCTTTTCAATTAGCATGAATGATGTCACTACCTCTTCTCCTCTAGTATTTGTCTTGACAATTCCATCTGTCTGTGCAGATGGCCTGTAAGCTTTTAGTGATGTAAGCATGTTCCAGGTTCTGTGTTGTATATGACTGACTATATAATCTGGCACTGAAGTAACTTTTTACCGTAAAGGCAATTTATCTGATTCAGTGAACGATTTTTACCTAGAATTTTAATCTTTCTATCATATTAGCTAACTTCTTGTTTCTTTTTTTTTCTCTGCTTTATTAGGCCTATGTAACTAGCACTCAGTTTTGTAATTGGCATTTTACCCCTTCGGAATTAATTACTCTTCGTTCAGATTGTAATGCAACTGCACTTAAAAGGTTACAATCAACTAAAGAAGTAGAAATTAGAAGTAATAATAATAAGAATATGAACAATACATCAGTTGTTGGATTAGATCCTGATCAAGAATTTAAAATTGTTAAACATTATGTATATTTAATGAAAATTTTATTTGATAAATTTACAACACCTCAGTTACCAAATGAAGTAAGTTTTTGAGCTGTTAAACAAATTCGGTTAGTTCTCCACTGTTATTTATTTATTTAAACACATAAATATTGGTACAAGGAGGCATCAGATATATATGCGCCACACAAAAAATTGTCATTTCATTTAATTGCGTTAGGGTTATGATACTGCTCAGGTGCCCAAACTGAAGCAGGTGGTTTTCTTTGGGAGCCACACCCCGAGCCTTTGATCTAAAGATCTGATCCACAAGGCAGTGGAGCATCGTGAGGAGATGCAGTCCCATTATAGCTGGTGACCAAGAATAGATTCAAACGCCACTTGTTCCATCAGGACACTGAAGTCCGTGTGCACCATTGGTTTTGAATCAGGGTTTACAACTCCTCTGGGTAGACTCCCGTATCCACCAACCCGGTTAAAGCGCCGGACATTCGCTTTTCGTCCTCTCAATTTCGTAAACAACACCTGTAGCACGAGAAGGCAGTGAAGACTTCCCTAACATTGATTGCATACGCGTGGCGATGTGAGAGCATTTGGAGAGAGAGTTGCCTCTCCCCACTCTCGGCCGTACCAGAGCATTTGGGGGCTGTTACCCTGATATATTGTTATTGTCATGAGAATGTTGATAACTTTATATCATCCTGTTTGTATTCGTTCAATTAATTAACTGTTTCATTTTTGGTGAGTTAGTATTCTTTGTTTCCATTTAGACTGATAAATAAAGTTATATGCGTATTAGTTATCATTATTTTTCTGTACTGCACATTTCATAAAGCGTAAATTTTCTATTTGTTTGTTCAACACTAGGGAATGAAAATTGTTAATTATTAAAAGTAGCCATACATGAAGTCATTCCGATCTATCTGCTTTCATCAGTGAAAAGTTAGTAAACTTAGTAACTCTGTTAATTTAGTTGTAAACTTATATCGACTGAAGTAATTGAGGTATGTATTAGTCATTTTCAGCCGCTGCCTATCCTGATCTACTTTACTGGTTTGTATAAAGTAAATTGTTTAAACGTTACTAGTGATCAAAGCATGAGGGGAAATCAGTTGATAAAATCATTGACTGTTAATTTAGGCAAGCGGATTTACCCTGACGATTTCATGTTTCTGCGCTAATGCGGTGTCGCAACTTGAAGCTATCTACATACGTACCAGGTTCTGCGTTACGTTTAACTGATTGACTGAGTGATCTGAACTCATTGCATTATCGAAATTTATCAAAGGGACTAATTGTTTTAAAAGATCTGAACTCAGTCTGTGAGTAACGCGTTGGATGTTTAAACCAGTTGTGTGTTCTGGTCCAACTGTGAGTATACATTAGTGTTGTAATACAAATATATCCAGCTAACATGTCAACAAAGACTGACGAAAATCCACTCACTAATTTCAGCAATGCCCTGGTACGGCCGAGAGTGGGGAGAGTCAACTCTCCCTCTCCAAATGCTCTCACATGGCTTCGCGTATATAACCTCTGACAAGGAAGTCCTACTCACTGCCTTCTCGTACCACAGGTGTTGTTTACGAAATTGAGAGGACGAAAAGCGAATGTCCGTCGCTTTACCCGGTTGGTGGGCACGGAAAGTCCACCTAGGGAAGTTGGAAAACCTTCATTTCAAACCAATGGTGCACATGGGCTCCAGTATCCTGAGGGGACAAATAGCGTATGAACCAATTATTTGGTCGCCGGCTACCATGGGACTGCATCTCCTCACGATGCTCCACTGCCTTGTGGATCAGATCTTTAGGTCAAAGGCTCGGGATGTGGCTCCCAAAGAAAACCACCTGCATCAGTTTGGGCACCTTGGCAGTATCATAGCCGTCACACAAATCAAATGAGATTTGTGAGGAGCATATATATCTGGTGCTCTTTTGTACCAATATTTCTGTGTTTAAATAAAATAAAATTTCAGCTATGAAGTAACCCGAATCCTTCGGACTAATGTTATAACTTATTCCAATTTTGTCTAGCTAGTGAGATTGTTTGCAAAAACTAACGTTAAGATACATAATCTGTCTAGTAAATGTGTGGACTACGGTTATAGAAACCTTGTTCTAGAGTTTAGTACACATAAATTTTGTTCCATATCATAATTACATATCCGTCCTGTCTCCATTTTTATTGTTTAAAATATTCCTGAAAGTCCTCAATAGTCATATTTTCTAGCCTATTTACCGTTTTCATATATTTTAAGAAAATCATTTCCCTCAAATTAAATTTATTAGCTGTCAGAAATCGTGAAAGACCACATACTTTCGATGTTTTCATCAAAACAAAAAGTTAGTGATTTTCTTACTCTTAAATCATTCTTGTGATTTCCTCAATTCTTACTGAAATTCTGATTTAATTTACCGTATTTATTTAAAAGACTATATTGTAAATGCATTCACTTTTATATCTTCTTCATCTGGAATTGTAGTATTCCTCTATACACTATTTTCCACTCTTTCTTTTTAAACTGTGTTCTTAATTTCTAGTCGTTTTTATTGTCATTACTACCATATTATTTCGATTTCTTGCTATACATACTGTTAATCTCATATTATGCATATGCGACATGACAATTCGGACCAACGTATATCTGTTCCAGGTTTTACTTTGATACTGACTAACTGACATTTTGAGTGGGTAGATACATTTATGTTTTTGAGTAGTAATCTAATAAATAAATCACATAGATCAGAAGGGGTTTTGTGGAGATTTCAGTATTTTTCATAGCTGAAATCATGAGCCAATTGAAACTAGACCACCATCAAAAACCTGGAAGCACTGGACGGCCGTTTCGTTCTATTATGGGACTCCTCAGCAATGCGCATCCACGATCCTGCACTCTCATCACATAAATTTCAATCATTCGGTTACATATTTGAACCTCTCTTCACTTCAGTTTGAGTAGTTGGGTATTATGAATTACTTGAATACAGTATGTATTTGTGTGACTAAAACGTTACACTCATGAACTTCTTGGTTATTGAGCATTATAATTTTGTCATTTACTTAACTAATATACACACAACGGATAATTTTGTAATCCAATCAGTTAATAGCTTTCATCATTTTTTTCTCTTTATTATTTCAGGTATATGGTTTTGCTGCAACCTATTTTAAACGTTTTTATCTTAATCATTCTGTAATGGATTTTTATCCACGTGATATAATGTTAACTTGCTTGTATGTTGCTTGTAAAGCTGCAGATTTCCCAATTGGCCTTCAAACATTCATTTCGCATATTCCTAGAAATCAAGAGCGATATAGCTATCTTGTTCTCAATTCTGAACTTTTTTTGATGGAATCATTGGGTTATGATCTGTGGGTGTATACTCCGTATCAAGCATTAACTGGATTTGTTATCGACTTAGTAGCATATCAGGTGAGAAATTCTTATTATTTTATGTATTTAATCGCTTTGATCTCCTATTGAGTGATTTCCCACAGTTATAGAGTAGTTTCCATCCTGATCCAATAAAGAACTATTGAAAGCTAGTTGGCATTCGATAGCAGTTTTGCCTTATTTGCAAGCTCCTCGGTAGCACTTATGTGCGGGCGGTCGGAAGGTTGATCGAAACAAGTTTTGGTAACTTGGTGTTAATAGTAGAAAGGGTTTGTTTTGGCATGTTAGTCAAATGTATTTTGTGTTTTACATGCTCCTTACGATTTAGAAATTTTGTTCACACAATTAAAAAAACGCTGTGCATTATATGAAAATAGCCAATGATCTTCTTACATACTGTTATAACGTATAGATTTTTGGGCCCTTATAATATATGTATATGTCCAATGATACAGAAAATACGTACGAGCAGTCTTGGGTGCTATTCGGTCCTTCCTATCTGCCTAGCCCAGTTCGTTAAGTCCAAAACACAAATAACAGCCTCAGCAATATGAATCATTATTTACAAGCATACTGGGTTATATATACTAACCAAACAGACCACATATATCAAAAATAGAAAAATAACATTTGTACAGTAATTGGCCAATGTGGCTGTAGCTAGGGGGAAAGTAATCAATAATAATAGTTCCAAGGTCAAAATAAAGGTTATGATAAGAGGAACACGGAAACGATTAGGTCACTTATTTAACAACTATCCAATAGGGAATGGGCATATTGTATTTGTCCATAAATAGACCTCAGATTTAAGTCACTTATTTAACAACTATCCAAATAGGAATAGGCGTATTACATTTGTCCATAAATAGACCTCAGATTTACGATTCATAATTCTCCAGGGGATATAACACATACATAACGTAATATGATGCTAACAAATCTTTATCAAATTGAGTTGGTGAAATATTACAAGCTCTAGACTATGAATGCTATGTTTCGTGGTGTAGGAGCAGGTTGGAAGAAAGCTAGGGGCGGCCAGACCAAAACGTGGCACAAATCCATGAAGTCACTGATAAGTGGACTGAGCCATGTTCGTAGGTGTAGACTACCTGGTTGGGACTCGCGAGATGATAGCAACTGATGGTTAGAGACCTTGAATGACATGGCTCAAAATCGCTTGCAATGGCGAAGGTGCATCCACTCTTTGTGTTCTGTCAAATTCTAATCTTCTGAATTCTTCATGTCTTTATCTTTTTCTCTTTCCAAATTTATTTCACTGGATTATACTCCTTCAATAACATCTTCAAACCCTAATCTCTTTTCGATTACTGCTTATACTCTTACTACTTCTACCAATATGGGATTTTAATCGACAACTTCATTTCTGTGGTAATGTGGTATGGCAGCTCGAACTGATGTACGTACATACAAAGTTCTACGTTGTGACTGACTGATGAATGCTATCATCTAACTTATTTACACCCTTCAAATGATAGTCCTAATCTAATATAGTTGACTAGAATGATTTGACTGGCTAACTTGCAAAGTCTTAAGTCGAAGTCACGTTTAATGATTCTTCAGGTTGGCCAACTCTAACGTGGTGTTCTATTCGCCCTATTTCCTAAAAAATTTTGAATAACAAGCAGAATAGTAGCATATTTGGGATTTATATGAAAGAAGTAATCAACATAATTCCTTCTGCATGGATCCAGCCATACTGTCCATTCTTCGTTCCACAGTGCCCTTCTTTATACCCGTCTTTGGAGTTAGGAGCACATTCAGGTTGACGGCTCATGCGGCTAGGATTCAGTGTTACTTCACTTATTATATCCGTGCGCCTCATATGTTGTATGTAAAACATGCCAGTCCCGAAAAGTCATTGTTTCACGAGCAACAACAGAATATGATTCGCATTCAAATGAGTTCATATTTTAAAAAGCTTCAGTTAAAATTGATAACTTTAATGAGTTTGTAACTTTACATCTTGCAAGGTTGCTCATAAGTAACTATATATATCAACACTATTTTGTCAGGTTCTCCTGTGTTCCAATCAACTAGTGCTTAGTACTGGTCTGCGAATGGAATTCGCAACTACTATATTTTCATAAACTGTAATATGCGTGCTCATGTGTTACTGTTTACTTGAGTTTATATCGTAAGTGTTAGAAAAATGATGACATAATCCTGAACCAATATAGTAACAACACAAGCATATTCGCAATCTGTTTCTTTTTCTCTAAATGCTAAATGTTGCTCCAGGACTTATCCTTATCATTTGGATTAGTCATAGTCTGCGAAGTAGTTGAGTGTGTTGACTGCTTCATGTATCTTGGGAGTTTCGTAAACCCTGATAGGTTAGCGTCTGACAAAATCTCTGTGAAGATCCATAGGGCTTGGTTGTTATCTACCGATACAGGCCTATTCTGGTGTTGCTGCACTGTCCTCTTGGTAACCAAATGACTATGCAACATGGCATGTATGGTAGTAGAAGACATGCATAAGGTGAATATCTTTTATCAAAGCTACATGTGAAGCACTGTTCGCTTATCATTGATAAAGTGTGTGACCAGTGCTAATGTAAGGTATATGGAACTAAACAAAAAGAGTAGTTCGTAAAATAAACTGGTAAGTCCCCATCGACTGAAGTGTCCAAGGTACGTCTTACATAGGCTTACTGGTGCAGAAGGTTGTAGAAAGCTAGATAATAGTGCTTCAAAAACTCGCTCTTCGTTTGGTTAAAGGTTCAGTAAATAAAATGACCTTTGTTTCCCTTTTATTTTTTAGAGATTGGTAACAATGATTCATGTCAACTGTTTTTCGACATTCCTGCCTGACTACTTTCTGTAGATATATGTAAACCATCTATTATGATATGCAGGTTACAAAGTCACCATTTTTACTGATCAATTTTCTCATTTTCTATCTATTTAGAGACGCATTTGTGGTGCACATTCTGATTCATATCTATTAGAGAATCGATCCGATGCTCAGCTTGTTGATGAGTTATGTAAGGATGGTGTAAATCTAATAAACTTATGGTATCAAACTGATCTATGCCTCATAGCTCACCCAAGTCAGTTCGCTCTTGCTGTCCTAGTGGAACTTGGACATACTCGGCCTCAGTTAGATGTAGAAGTTTTTGTCAGAGATGAACTATGTGGTTGTGACCCAGTACAGAAGTTTAAACAACATTCTGAGGAGGAGGATGGTGACGAGGGTGACAGAAAACCCAAAAAGGATATCAAATGTGACCCTGAGACTCGTTGGCAGGAACTGTCTAGTCGTTTAGATTTTATCCGACAAACAATAAATGAATTTCAGTTTGTTACTGACTTGGGACCTGTTGGTGAAGAAGAAGTAATTTTAGATGAATGTCGTAATCCTCTGTATAATATTGAATCTGATGAGTATGCACAAGCCAAATCAAAGGCGGATAGCCTAATGGCTATGCTTGAATAATAGTAATAGTCGCACCTGTACTGTATATATACCATGTATAATTACAGATTTTATCTTTACAGATTTATCTTTTGCCCTGGATATATACTTTTTTATAAATTCTACCTCTCATAAACTCGGTTTATTATCTCTTTTTCCCTTTGAGTCGAGTGTTCTCAGCTTTACAGATCACCGACTTTCCATTTGTTGCTTTTGTAACTTACTGTGTCCTTGTTTTCATGAAGTCCGGTTCCATGACAGTTGCCGAACGATAGCTATGTTTCCTGAAGTAATAAAGCATTTCTGAAAGCGAATTCGGTAATAAACAAGCTAAGAGGTACCCACAAGCATGTTGATAAGAATATTTGAAATAACAGACAACTTAGTCTCCCAATAACTGACAGACGAATGACGCTAGCCACTGTAGTTTTCGCCAAGACTTGGCAAAACTTAGCCTCTCCGTTGCCGAACATACGTTAACAATTCGAATTTAAGTTCCTAGAGTCTCGAATTTCTGACCACCGAGTTAGGAATTTCGTTGAAAGAAGTAACCAGGGACAAAATATCTTGGTTCATCACGATCTGAATATGGTTTGACTTATCTTTACTACGTTGTACTTCTTAGAAACGTCCTCATAAACTTCGGATCAGTCATGGCGGACTTCACGGTATGTCCTGTTGATATAGCGCATGGTTGGCAACCACTTAGTACGCATGTGGTGATTCGTTTTCAGTTGAGCCCCGAAAATAAGTTAATTATGAGGTAACTGTCTTATGGGACGGTTGGTAGATGTTGACAAGTTTAAATTTATGGTCTTAGCTATCACAAAAGAAAGGTTTGTATGGCAAACGTGTAGAAGGATTAAGCTGTTCTTAGGCCGAACTTAAAAAGGCCAAATGGGTCTGATGTGGCTGTTCAGTGAGTATTATTATGAAACAATGAAACCTAATTTTACTTGCTTCACAGATTAGTTTTCCAATATATGGAAACATCTTCCGATGTGATGGCTGTCATAAGTATAGGACAAAGAACAATTGGTCGTAGTCTTCGGATTAAATCGCAAAAATCAACATCCTGACGCCTATCACTTATGCCCTTTGTACGGCCAGATATATACATAGGCTTAGGGTAGTGAGATCCAGAGCGAATGATTTAGCTACATCCAGTAATTTGAACCAGTGGTAAGGAGGGTTTCGTGTATCATATGGAAAGCTCTAGAAGGTTGTATGAGATGCTACTGAAGACCTTATTAAAACCTATGCATAGAATTATCACTGACTGACCAACCTTACATTGCTGGGTAATTTGGTCAAAACCTTTCAAGTGCTATATGGAGCATGTGCTTATAGTGATAAACTCGTTCTAAGATGGGCTAATTAAGCTTACAGACAGTGAAAATGATAACAGCTATTTGTGGACGATTCTTGACATCACAGATTTCAAGGTAATGGGCCTTTAGTTAACAATATCTCTAGATAATCCCGTTTTGAATCTAGAGATGATAGGCGATTTTTTTCTTGCGGGCGGATGCACTCCATCATGGAAAATCTTTACCTTGTTTCACGAATGATGCAGGAACCACATCACGTCCACTGTCATTGGATTTTCCTAGGGCACTTATGGCATGTTTAATGTTTGGTGGATGTAAAATCAGCAGTTGGCGGACGCTTAGATGTCAACATTTAGGGCGTATTGATAGGAGTTTCTGATTTTATGTTGTAGCATTGCTAGAAATGGCGGCTGAATTGTTCAAAAATAGTATCAGGGTCATTAACTATAAAAAATCTGGTTGTCAAGGGAATCTGATTTCATATGGGATTTGAAAGTCCGAAGTATTGATAACTCCGAGCTTTTACTATCTAAGGCTTTATCACCCACTTATAAGGTACTTGCGTTGAGATGAATCCTCCGACAAGTTATGCGTAATTTGAAGCGCATGTACGTCATGGTGCTTGTACTATTTGTGCTTCAATTTCCCTAACTTTCTCTTTAAAGTATATTGGCCCCTATTATTGTTATAAACCACATGGTCGACAACTTAAGCAGTGCAGTACGTCAGGTTGTGGTATACGTTGGAAAACTCACTTCTGTTGTTGTTTGTGGTGAAGTACAATCCCCATGATAAGCGATAAATAAGAGTTTCAGTACGATTCCTTATTTTTTGGCTAAACTTCCTGTTTCGGTACATTGTTGTTGCTTTAGAGTTCAATGTAATAGTTTTTGAAGAATGAACATTACTTTTTACGGCTCTATAATCACTTATAAAAAATTAATAACTGATATAATGTCAATGTTGATGGCAGATATTTAGTCAGGTATATTATTCCTTCTAGTATGTTTTCGGACATGTCGGACCCATTCACAGAGTTCCGATGTTTAAACTAACTTGTTATATCGTCCTGCTACCGAAGTCGAATTCCATGTAATGTTCGGCAGATGTAAATCACCTTCAGTGTTTTTAAACGCATGCACTTGGTGAGAAACATTTGAAAAATGTGCTTCTTAACATTTTGTCAATGTATGCACGTGATGTAGCTTGTATGTACATCACACCAGCAGATAATTTTGTGATCCACTGTTTACAGTAACCCAAATGGAGTATTCTGCTGCATCAAGACATCCATCCTCAAGTTTACACATTTCAAATGTTCGAGTGAACATGGATAATTTCGCACCTCCGATTCCATGACGTCTATTAGATCGGAAGAAGACGTAGTAATAACCAAATCCCTATGGCTACTGACCACATTAAAAAAAACCGCTATAATAATTCCCTTCGGCCTCTACGAATTCTTACGAATGTCTTTCGGCCTAAGAAATGCTGCTCAAACCTTCCGAAGGTTCATAGACGACGTCTTCCGGGGTCTCGACTTCGTACATGCATATATTGATAACTGATAGCAAGTTCAGACAGATAATCCCATCTCCAGCATCCGGACATTGTTTTCGAACGACTTCAAAGACATGGCATTACAATAAAAATTCAGAAATGCCAGATCGGAATGAACTCCTTAGACTTCCTAGGACACTATTGACGTTCAAGGCATCCAACCTCTTTGAAGAAAAGTGGCGGCCATTCTGGATTACCCAGAAACGACCATGATTAAGCAGTCGCTCACATTTAACGCTTTTTTAAGTTTCTATAGACGGTTCATACCTAAATGTGCGTCCCTTATGAAATCGTTGGCCGACCGACTTCGTGGAAATGCTAAATCAGTTAATCTAGACGACACTGCGCGTAAAACATTTTCCACAATTAAGGAATTCATCACCAAGGCAACCTTTATAGCACTTCAGGACACTCAATCACCCATTAGTACCGACTCAGAGATCGGAGGAGTCTTACAAAAATGGGTTGACCACTCTTGGCAACCTTTAGGATTATTCTTGAGACGTTACTAGACACTGAATCGAGGTACAGCACGTTCGGTAGGGTACTCCTAGCTTTGCATTGGGCTGTACGGCATTTACAACATTCCATCGAAGGAAGAGAGTTCATACGTCTTACCGATCATAAACCTCTTACCTGCTCTTTAAGTTCATCTTCAGACAAGTACTCACCGTAAGAGTCTCGACAACTAGACTACATTTCACAGTTTGTTTCCGATATACAACACATTTCTGGAGATAACAATGTAGTTTGCAGTCGCTTTGTCTCGTATAAGTTCCTTGAATAGTTTCCAAGGAATCGACCATCTGAAACTCGCTCAGCATCAAAAAGAAGAAACTGATTTTCAGCACGAGTTATCCCCAACAACTCTTAAACTGCGTATTAAACAGATGGGAACAGGTAAAGAAACCTAACTATGTGACACATCTACATGTAGGGATCGCCCGGTCGTACCGAAACATTATCGACGCATCGTCTCCAATATGTTGCACAATCTTTCTCATCCAGGTGTTCGTGCGTCCATCAAGCTTATAGCAGAATGGTTTTGTTGGCCTGGTATGAATAAGGACGTGAGGAAGTGGGAACGCTCCTGTATAAGCTGCCAGAAATCTAAGGTCATTAGACACAACAAATGTCCCTTAGACTCTTTCAAGACCCCTGATGCTCGTTTCGACCATCTTCATCTGGATTTGGTAGGACCATTACCAGATTCAAACGGATACTCATATCTCTTAACCTGCTTAGACCGTTTCACTCGATGGCCAGAAGCAGTACTTATTAAGAACATTACTGCTGAAACAGTGGCGCCTTCTTCGAGTGGTGGGTAGCAAATTTCGGCTGCCCTTTAACCGTCACTACAGATTGCGAACGCCAGTTCCAATCTGAAATTTTCCGTTGTTTGACCACACTATTAGAAATCACTCGCTTCCGATCTACCGCCTGCCACCCACGAGCAAACGGGTTTATAGAAAATTTTCACCGACGACCAGACGCTGCTAAACATAACAAGCTATCAGAAGAGTGTTTGCCAACAACAAACTCGCTGTGTTTAAACTTCTGGCTGGCTACGTCGTAGGGGCATCAATATCCCACTAGGAGGGGAGTGATCTGTAGCTGTAAATAATTCCCAAAAATCAATAGCTTTGTAAGTGTTCGACATTGGATGCTGACCACATTAGTTTTAGTGGACTCGTTTAGCTTAAGGCGCTCGATCATGCATCCGTAACAGATTACATTACAGAACGGCGTGAGAAACATCTCCTACGATCATTAACCAGATTAGATCAGTCACTTCTCGATACATTGATAACCCATTAAATATATCGTACAACCTCCTCGCTTCTGACTTCTGATTTTAACTGGGTGTTACTGGTAAAGAGTTGTCAAACTACAGTACTGATTGTATCTTTGCGTTCTTGGTGACTGCCTGATTTCGAATTCTAAATACAATAGATTCGTTTGTGCTCAAATAGTTTTCTATAGTCTAATTTGCGTTATTTCTGGAATTTCTGGTTCGTATAATAACTCAGATAATTCTAAGAATCACATTGGCGTCGCGATGGAGCCTGCGATGAAACAGTTGGAATTCCATTCAAAAGTTGATTCTTTTAAGGATTACATGGAAAAATT